TTATTTTCTCTTAAATAAAAGTAAACATATTCTTCTAATTTTTTTTTGTTTTGTCATGTAATTATTTTGTCCAATCATCTGAAAGGGATTTTACCAACTGTAGAAATGTTATAAACTTTTATTATTGTGCCTTTTATTTCTAAAGCAATGTGTTGTATATCCAAACTTATAAACTATGCATTTGGGGATTACTCACTTAAAATGAAGATCTTTGAAAGTAAAATGGGTTTCGACAATTCCTGTGGTTTTCACTCTAGTTCTGAGGACATCTTGCTGAGTTGGGATGTAATTTGATTGTGCTATTCTGTCCAAATCATTCAAATAGCTGGAAAAAATAACAAAACAGCATGTTAACAGTTACGAGAGTCAACAGAGATTATCTGAAATGAAGACAGAAATGTATTTCAACACATGTAACTTCTGACCATCTTGGAAGTTTTCAAGGGTCTGTATGATAGAAAACAACCAGTTTAAGAATATATGAAAATTTTTTAAACAATGCCTAATTTAATGAACACTGTGATTTTGTTTCTTTAAATTCTTCCTTTTATGTTTAGTGTAACATTAAGCTTGGCTCCATATGTTGCCTTGGGTTGAAGATTTCACAGGTCTTAATCTCCGGTGGAGAAAAGTCTGACTGAGATGTTTCCTGCTAGCCTTGTGTTACACATGGACATGCATTGCTCATGCATCTATATGCTACATTTCACTGTCCTCTAAATTAATACATGTATTTTACTTGTCAGTGATAGATTTTAGTCACTCATATAATACTCCCTGCCAATAATGTCAAATATACTCTAACATAAAAATGCTATGGCTATGGCATCATATCATGCAATGCAAGAAAGTAAATTATTTTGTTTCAAAATGCAGAAGCAATAATTCATAAAGACCAGGCATGAACACATTACTGTGGACCCGATGACTAAAGAAAGACTCAGGGGCAGTGACAGGTGTACAAAGAAAAATAACAGCAAAATGAGAAACAGTCACTGGAAGTGTACATATGTCAGGATGGAGATATATTCATGTTGTTTTTTTCTTAAATTCCTCAATGGGCTATGTTCAACCTGCCTGAGAGACTGGAATTAATCCTAGGTCAGTTGACCATGATGAGCAGCACTGCAGTCTTTTGAAATACTAGAGCAGTACAGTGAATGAGAACTTCTAAAATAAAATTAGGTTCAGAAAAGCAGCTATGATCACAACTTACAATTATTATGAACCTTTGAACTTGTTGCTCAGTTGATAGGATCTTCTAAGCAAACCGAGTCCTTTACATGTATTGGGGGAGCTGAATATAAAATCCATGCTAGGCAATGCTTTACCTAAAATTCCCAATCCCAGATATGCAATAACACCATAGGAGTTGGTCAGGAAGGCCCCAGATGCCCCTGAAATAATATAGGCTCTTGATGGTTGTCTTAATCATCCAGCAGAATTAGAGCTAATGACATCATACACCTAAATGCAGGATACAGAAAAACCAAGCTGGAACTGAGCTAGCAGATTCCTGCCTGGTGGCTAGCTTTCAACATTCTGGAAGATCCTATGCTGGGGAGGAAAGGCATCATTGATCTTACTCAGCTGTGAAGCTTACAATGCCCAAATCCAACCTGCCAGGCAAGATCTGTCTATCTTCCAATAGTGGCATGACTGTTGGGAAGTAACCAACTGCCATTTGATCGGATGTGAGCCCTGCTACGTGGGAAGGAATCCATGCCTGGATCTGCAAGCCCAGTTAACAACCTTTGCCTGGTAAAGCCCAAGTATGATAACTAAATTGACATAACATCAAGCAGCCGCTGCAGCCTCTGCCGCCTCCTCCTCCTCCTCCTCCTCCACCTCCCCCTCCTTCTCCTCCTCCTTTTCCTGCTCCATCTTCACCTCCTTCTTCTCCTCCTCCTCCACCTCCATCTTCACCTCCTTCCCCTTCTCCTCCTCCATCTTCACCTCCTTCTCCTTCTCCTCCTCCACCTCCATCTTCACCCCCTCCCTCTTGGCCTCCTCGACCCTCTCTTCCTTCTTCTTGTTCTTCTTGTTGTTTTTCTTCTTCTTCTTCCCATCTTTTAATTTTTCCTTAGCTCTTGCTTCAGTGGTCTTTTCAAAAGGAAGAGGAAGGTGACCAGATGTCAAGGGCTGTAGAGCCAGAACCATCCTCACTGGTGGGGTAGTAGGGAGAGTGGTCTTGCGCCCCGAAAGAGGGACCCCCATGGTTCTTAAAGGCTGGAACATCCTAAACTCCTCCTCCTCCTCCTCCTCCTCCTCCTCTTCCTCCTCCTCCTCTTCCTGACATAACATCAAACTGACACTGCTGCCTCCTCTTCTTCCTCCTTTTATTTTTTTTGTTTTTTTCAAAAAGACAGGGACTTTTTACCCTGGCTGGTCTGCACCTCACTATGGAGACAAGGCTGGCCTTGAATTCACAGAGATCCACCTACATCTCCTTCCTGAGTGCTGGAATTAAAAGTATATGCCACCACACCCCAGCTCAAATTGCCTTCTAAATACATATATTTATCCTCATAGACAAAAGGTACTCCCAACCTTAATCAGGGAAGCCTCTCTTTGCAGAAATGTTGGTGCATGTAGAAACTCATGGATAGTGAAGATGACAAGAATAAGCTACAGTTGAGAGCTCAGCCTTAAGAGGACATTTATGCCACCACCTCTAAAGCACAGGGAACACAGCAGAAGTCAGGGTAGGAAGTATCTAAGAGCCAAAAAACAGGACGAAGGGCAGTGAAATGCCATCCTCTAGACTAGAGGAAACCAGTACAATCATGAACTCACAACAACAGCAGCTACCTGCATTGTTGGGCCCACAAGACAGGCTCTGTTAACAGTAAGTCAAAGAATGGAAAGGGACTCACGAGGCCCTACCCCTTGCTGCTAAACTATTAGCTACTGATAGTTTGGGAGTTGGAGAATCATCATCTCCAGTTATGTGTTCACTGCTAAGCCCACGAGACTCCAGCACACAGCTCTAAACATACAGTCATTTCGAATGCACTAGTTAAGCTTAGTAGGTTGTAAGTCAAAACAAATTGGCATAAGATGAGAAAGACATGTAGAGAAGTGTGGAGATGTTTACAGGGTAGTGGGGGGACTGGAGAGAGTGAAGAATGAGAAAGGTCAGGATCGATTATATGCACATGTGAGATTATCAGATAACAAATTTTATTAATACAACTTTAAAAAATACATAGCTTACAAAGTTGCTCTGGGTGACTCAATGACTTTCACTATTAAGCCACTCACAGCAAATCACATATGTGTAGTGCACACTAAGCTGTTCAACAAATGATGTATGAAAAGATACTGAGGCCCACAGCCTCTTTGTTTATTTTTTACTTTTTAATTTTTTTTTTGACAGGGTCTCCCTAGTCCTAGACTTCTGGAAATGACTATGTGGGCCAGGCTGGCCCCAATATCACAGATATATTCCTGCCTCTGCCTCTGGAGGGCTAGGAGTAGAGGTGCACATTATCATGCTTGGTGTCCCTTTGTTTATTCTTTACTGTGGCAAAATGCACATATTTACCAAGTCCTGTCATCTTCTATTTAATAGTACCCAAGAATCCATAGCTCTCTCAATAAAAGAGAATATTAGAACATAAATGGTATACAGTGCACATTTTAAAGACCAATTAATAATGTTCTACATGCCATATCTGACACTTTTGTGGGAGTCTGTGTGTCAAATTGAGGAAACAAAGATGTGAGTTTCTTTTATTTTGTGTAGATCACCAAACAGAAAGCTGGGTTTTATCACCACTTGTTTTATAAGCTTTCTGGGGCCACCATTTGGAAAATCAAGGCAGATTTGTCTCTGAAGAATTTGTACTTGAATATCTACAGACAGTGTCTAAGAACAAGACAAATACAACTAACAATCCTCAAATGTAGAGATATTTTCCTTAGCTTTTTTATCTTATTGCGAAGACACTTTGGGATCACCAAGCACCATTTCCTCACCTTACTTTAGGAGCCTATCATCTACAGAACTCTGCTGAGGCACCATCAGTGTACTGAGGAAATCCTATAACCCTCACCCTCCTATGTAACTAACTCCAAACAGACTAGAGGTATACTCTGAATAAATACACAGTGAATTTTGGAAATTTTCAATTATGTCCTTGAAAATATACTACAAACATTCCTATTCTGCATGTTTCAAGTGGAGGTTACATATGCATGAGCCTCCTGGGACACTTTTGAACACAAAGAAAATAAACAGTAATGCTAGTCACAAACACACGAAAAAGACAGTGTTCAAATATCATCATCTGAAAATCCTGAGTTGTACAAGAATGTGTCAGCCAATTCTACAGTACAACTGACTTGGAGGTATATTTGACTTGCAGGTATATTTGACTTACAAGTAATTATTCATGATAGTTTGGCTTTGAAGTTGTGATTACTTACTATGCTGCAGAATCATTAAGCTGATACTCTCGGGATCTGTTGAAACAGGCTTGCACACCACTGTCTTTCCACAATCTCTTTATGACTCCAGCAAGCTCTGTGGTCATAAAGCCTTCCTCGGCAGCTCCAGCAAGCACGAAGAGTTGGCGAGCATCATCCTGCACATTCAACAAGAGAAACATTACAGATAAGAAGCACAAATGGAAATATGAGAGAAAAAATCATAACCGTGAATTTCCTTTATTTTTTATATTAGTGTCATAACTTTTCTTTATCTAAAGCACCACTTAAAATTGGCTTAAGCAAAAGAATATAATGATAAACTACAGGTCTATGTTTCGTGGTGCTGCTGATCAAAGCACTACAGCTCAAAAGAATGACTCAAGGAACTAGCTGCTGACAGAGACTGAAGATGTCCATTTCTGAGAAAATGGAGGCATAGCCCATACGTTTTTCAAATGTTTTAAATCTAGAACACCATTGGAAATTACCTTAAGATAGAATTTACTTAAGTTTTAACTTTCTGATAAAGTTTCAGAAACAGAATATTTCCAGAGAAGGGGGAATCAATGTAGAGTAAGTAACAATAGTTTCACAGGATTCTTGAGACCTTAAAATATAGACATTAAAAATCCCTGAGGAAGTAAATGAAAACAGATGTTTGCTAAACCAGACAAAGAGAACAAAATATGTAAAGCTTTAGAGTAGTCACATCCATAAAACAAATGAAAAACAACCGATACATAAAAATTTCTAAATGAAAGAATACTGTATATATAATTAGTTCACTTTTGCTTAGTGTTGAGGCAGCTAACAGTTATTGAGCCACAAGTAATCAACCACATTCAATCAGTGAGGTCAAAGAGAAACCAACGAGAGACATTAAATGCAGACCAAACTCTAGCAATCCCATTTTTAAAAAGTAAAGCTCAGAGGTAGGTAAAATGAACTTATATTTCATATTCATTTTATACATATTAAGTTTTTGAAATCTGGTGTGTTGTTTAGCACATCTTAACTCAGACTAGACTCAAGTACTCAAAAGTCTAATGTGGTTAGAAATTTCCATTCCTGTTAACATGGGTTCCCGATAGTAACATACTGTATCTCAAAACAAAACACAAGAGACACAATAAGCTATTATTTTACTGACATGTAGTTTTGTATTATGGGTGAAAAATCCCTAATTATACCCAATTTACATTCTTGCAAACTACAGCTGAGTGGTCATTCTTCAGAGTGAAGATTTGTGAAATCTCTGAATCTGTCCTGGAGATATGTAGAGGTTTTTGTTGTTATTCTTGTCATAGTCTGTGTACAATTCAATATAACATTGTTTTACACTGTACTGGGTACTAATAGTGATCTAGAAAGGATTTTACATACACCGGGAAGATTTATGAAGATTGCAAGCATATACTGTATCACTTTAAAATTTTTTTTTGAAATAGGAATAGGTAAAATAACTAGCCCAGGTTAGCCTTGAACCTTTGATCCTCCTGCCTCAGGGCCAAGTGCTGAGATTAGAGGAGAGTACTACATACCTGCAACCATTTTACAAGAAATTCTATCATTTTAAGATTCTGGTATCTGCTGAGAGTTCTTGAACTAACCCAATCCCCAATACTAGGTGATGAATGTACTGTAGCTGTGTATTGCAAAGTAATGAAACAGTTTGATAGGTGTACAAAAGAGAAGCAGCATTTCATGACACAGGCTTCCAAGCACCTACTAGCTGACAACATAAATTCATCCTTTTGCTAATTTGTGAAGCATTTTCCTTTCAGCTAGAACTCATCACGAAAAATAATTAAATTTCTCAGCATGGGAACATGTTATTCAAGCATATGTTTCCCTTTTTAGTAAACCACAAGAGAAATGCCTGCAACTAGCAACATGCATATGGTGTATCCTTAGTAAACCCTCTAATCAGTTTCTAGTCACTCTGAGCAACATTAGCCCAATTCCAATAAACAATGGCACCATCATCTATGTAATTACCTGCACATAAGAAATTTTGCCATTTTTATTATTAAAGCACATCAAACACAATTTAGAAAAATGCCTTTTCATTAAGTGGGTTTTAAAATGGCATTTCATTATATTATCTTTTGCCAATTTCAGTACATTTGCAGCAGAAGAGTCTAAGAACCTCCAATATGGGTTATTGTATTATAGTCTTTTCATACATTTTAGGAAAATACCCTCAAGAAAAGAGAAAGAAGACATTGGACTGTGTGTTTATAAACTGCATTCTGTGTGGCATTCAAAATATCTTCCAGGGGCTGGAGAGGTGGCTCAGCAGTTAAGAGTACTGGCTACTCTTAAAGAGGACCTCGATTTGATTCCCAGCATTGACATAGCAGCTAACAACCATCCATAACTTCAGCTGCAGGGGAATCTGACACCCTCTTATGACCTTCATGGACATTGCATGACACAATATGGGTGTACACACATAAAGGCAGTACACTCATACACATAAAAAATCAAAATAGGGGGCTGGAGAGATGATTCAGTGGTTAAGAGCACTGACTGCTCTTGCAGAGGACCCGGGTTTGATCTCCAGCACCCACATAGTGGCTACGAACCGTCTTTAACTCCAGTTCCAGGGGAATCCGAAGCCTCTTCTGACCTCCGTAGCACTGCACAACACGGGTGCTCTCACATACAGGCAGGCAATACACTCATACACATAAAATTAACATAATAAATAAAATATTTTTAAAAATCAAAATAATAAAAAAATTGTTAAGAGCATTGGCTACTCTTATAGAGGACCCAGGTTTGATTCCCAGGACCTACATGATGACTGACAACTGTCTACACTCCCAGTTCCAACTCCAGTAACAACTCTCCTGACCTCCACTGGCATTGTAGAACATGGATGCACTTACATCATACATGTAGGCAATACACTCATACACACAACATAAAAATAAAAATAAAATAAAATAGGTCCAGAGAGATGGCTCAGTGGTTAAGAGCTTGTACTGCTCTTCCAAAGGATCCAGGTTCAATCCCTAGCAATCATGTCAGGTGGCTCACAACCACCTATTACTCCAGCTCCTGGGGGATCCAATGTCTCTGACTTCTGTGGGGCCTTGCATTCATGTAGACACACACACACACACACACACACACACACACACACA